TGTTTCATTTTGAGTCAGGGTCTTTCCCTGTAACCCAGGTTGGCCCAGAGCTCTGGACCCTCCTAGGCAACCTCCTGAGTGTTAAGATTGCAGGCATGCAGCCTCATATCAGGCTTGGAAGATGAAAATTTCATTATTATGCCTTCCTCTTCTCTTGGAGTTGAACTGCTCATTATAATACCTAACGTTTACTGAGTGCTTGCTAGATGCTCAGTGATATACTCTATTATTAAGATGGATCGTGCTATTCAGTACTCACAGGTGAGGGCTGGGGGGCTGGCTCGGTGGGTAAAGGGGTTGCCATGCACATGCGAGGGCCTGCGTTTGGTCCTCAGAAACCAGGTGAAAAAGCCAAGTGTGGTGGTGTGCGTTTGTAATACTGACAGCCTGGAGAGACAGAGACAGGCGGGACCCTGGAGAGCCAGTCTAGCCTACTTGGCAAATTCCAGGCCAGTTAGAGACTCTGTCTCAGAACAAAGATGGAGCGTACCTGAGGACAACATCTGATGCTACTCTCTGTTTGGACGCTCGTGTGTGTACACACACACACACACACACACACACACACACACACACATACATACACACACACACACACACACACAAATGACAAGCTTTATTGTTTATAGGAAACAAAGGCGAGAGATTTGGGCATCCACACAGCAGGGAAGTGTGGGGTATCAGATCTACAGCCTGTGTTCTTTTGTTTTTCTCATCTAAGAAGTATCTCCTCACATTGTGGTCTCCGTTACTTGCCACGTCTCTCCAGTTTTGGTTCCTCCATAGCCAACTACAGACCCCTCTGTTCTCTCACATCCTCCTGTTCTTTCAGGAACTCCTCAGCTCTTGTTGCCATGTGCGCTTGCTGCACGCTCCATCCCGGTTCCCGTTCTCACTGCTCTTCCCCACCCTTCCTCCATCTCTCCCTTTGCTGTTTGCCCTGTTCCTGTGACCTCAAGTTCCTCTGCACCTTTAAGTTTTCTCAAGGCCCTGTCACCCAGAACCTGTCCCCAACTCTCCCAGCCAGTATTTCTCTTTATGGCCACATCCCCTGGGTCCTTCTTTCAAGACCCTCTTGGTCCTCCTGCTCACTTCCAGTTCTTTCCATCTATTTCTGTGTGTTCTGCTGTGGTCCTTTTGCTGCTTTTGTTAGTGTTGTGGGTTTTTTTTTTCTCCAGGATAAAAGAATGTTTACCTTCAACTGTTGATAATGGGGCATGCCTATAATCCCACCATTAGAGAGATGAGGCTAGCCTGAGCTGCATAGTGAGAACCTTTTCCCAAAAACAAAACCAACAAAACCCACAAAACAATAATACAAACTTTATCTAAAAAAATGTTTGAACAAAGAAAACACAAACACTACTCGAAAACTTAATTCAAAAACTACAAGGGAAAGATAAACACTGTTTGAGATTTTCAGTCCTGAGAAAATTTCTGTTACCATTTCTCACAGTGTTCTCTGTGCTCATGTACCACCCCCAGCTTTATATAAACAGAGCACTCATTCATAGAAAGAACTAGTAAGTGCCGGTTCCATTTTTCTGCTTCTTTAGCCAGACCTTGTTGGTGCTGTATATTGGTAGAAGTATTAAGGCAGCTCCGTGTAGTTAAAAGGGAGGTTTATTTATTATTTACTTACAACAGGTAAAGGGATAGGTTACAGGGTCTGGGAGAGGTGAAGTGCAGTCCAGCGGTGTTCTCTGGAAAACTCTACTTGGTCTACCATCCAACCTCCAGGATTACCAGGAACCAAGAGAGCCAGCACATTTGGATCTTGGGTCTTAAGGGCTCCATCTTGGCCCCACCTCAGGGGCCAGTCATAGGTAGGCATGACAATTACCAGAAGCCTCACTGGGGGTAGTACTTCCAGGTCAAAGCTGGAACAGTACCCCCTACAGCCATACTCAGATCTTGTGTTTTTTCTTAGGCCTCACACCTAGTTCATCACAAACCCGTCAGTTTTACCTTCAGACTATCCCATCATCAGACCCATGCTCCTCTACCCTCACAGGTGCCACCTGGTGTAAACCATCACAAACCCTGACCTGGACCACTGCCCAGCCTCTCTCGGCCTTCACTCTTGCACCTGGAGCACCACGCTCTCGCAGCCCACAACCATTCTTTGGCTTACTCCTTTCTAAGAGTTTTTCATTATACTTAGAGCGAAAGCCAAGTCCTTTCCACATTCCCCATGGCCTGCACTGCCTGACCACTTAGCAGCTGTCTTTGTCTCATTTCTTCTGCTTTCCTCCTCCATCACCTAACCCCAGCCACATTACTCTACCTGTTCCTCCCTTAGACCCCCCTCTTGCCTTAGGGACTTTACATTCACCTACCTGCCTTGAAAGCTCCTGTCTCACATCATGTTGTATCTCTCACTACCTCTGGATGTCTGTTTGAATGACAAATGATTCAAGATACCGTGCCTGAAAGTTCTACATAAAGTAATAGCCCCAGTCCACCCAGCCCAAAATTATCTGTGCCCTTATCTTGCTTTATTTTTCTTCGTAAGTCTTGGTACTGCCCAATACAGGTATTTTTGTCTACTTACTTTCTTCCTGGAGCATACTAGGTACTCAGTGAATATTTGAATATCAAAAAAGATATTTTTCAGTCCTTCCCGAGATCTTAAATACTAAGCCAGCTGACCTTCCAGCATCTTAAGATACAGGTTAAGGGGTAGGATTTTTCTGGGAAAGGAGAAACTTCTGTCCATGTTCATCCCATCCAGCAGAGTTCAGGAGCTAGGTGCACTTTCCTTTTCATAGAGCAAGTATGAAAGAAGTCAAGCAAAGGGTGGCCATGGGCCTGGTTGGGCATCCTGGAGTCCAGGTTAGATGAACGCTACTTGGAGCTATCTGGGAAAGCTATCTTCCTGATGGAAGGCCATGGGAAGCCACTATCCCTGTCAGACAGAGAAGAAATCTATTTTACAGGAGGCCGAATTTGAGTGTGGCCCCTTCCTACTGAGAGAAAGGTGGGTGGTCCAACCTAATCCATGCACCCAGACTGAAGTCCGAGGATGCTCTCAGAGGGTTCTGCTCATCATTCCACAGTCAGGGAGGGGTGTTCCTTTGAGATAGTCAGGGACAGCACCTCCTCTTGTCACACAGTCCTCTCTTATGTCCATCTACATTTGCATCATCTGAGCTTCAACTCCCTGTCACCCAGCAGCATGAGGAATGTTCTGCTGTGAGCTGCACACAGAAGACCAGGAAGGTGATGATTTGGGATAGCAGCTGGATTAGACTAAGTGAGAAAAGTTGGGCAGATAGGGCTTATTGAGTCAAGATCAGAGCTTGACCCAAACAGAAAAAAAAAAAAAATGTTAGATAAAGCTCACAGAGATGCCCGTAGGTCAGGGGCCTTCATCAGAGGCCACATTGGAGATCCCACTATCCTCAGCCATCAGGATTGACTGGCCTGTACCTGTGGTGGTGGTGTAGAGGAACATTGGCATGGAAGCGCCACCCGGGGCAAAGAACCCTTCTTAGTTGGCGGTAAGCATATTTAAGGAGCTCCCCTGTGAGGAGATCCCCCCTCCAAAATCGTGCTTTTCTTGTTGGTATCATACCTTGTTTGAATCCTAAAAAGGAACTTCAAAGATATCCAGATATAAACTATTTCTGTGATTCATAAAAAGGATAGGAATGACAGTAGAGTGACATGACACAAGCCTGGGAGATGCCTGACGGAGCTTCATTTTAATGCTGGGAGGGCACAGGGGGAGGGGAGTGAGGAAGAAGGCTGAGAGGAAAGCAACAAAAATTGTGATTGAAAAATGTCATCACAAAACCCAGTTCATCATTAATAAAAAGAAGTTGTTGAGCCCCCGCCTCCAAAATACATGGAAAACATTCAGTGGGATTGATCAAAGAGCAGGTAAGGGTCTGTAGTCACAAGGTTTCTGTGAGCCAGGGGTGCTGGCACAGACTTGATGCGGGCATGCAGCTCCAAGAAGCTGTTGGGAGACCAAAGCAGGGGTCTTGAGTTTTATTTTAGGCCAGTGGAGGCTACACAGGAGTTCTGGACTGGTCAGAGCAACATACTGACTCTCTAGCTCAAAAACCCAACAAAAATAAAAATGATTCTGTGATTCTATTTTATTACTTACCCTAAGTGTACATTTTCAGAATTGAGAGGCTTTGTTTTTTTATTGGATGATATTTTCTTCAATATGTGAAAAAAATTAAATTACATAGTATCTGAAACAAGCAGACCCATACTTATGACCATGATAGAAAGATACTTATCAATAATAATATATCTTTTTTTTCCTATACTCAGATTTTTTTTTTTTTTTCGAGACAGGGTTTCTCTGTGTAGCTTTGCGCCTTTTCCTGGAATTCACTTGGTAGCCCAGGCTGGCCTGGAACTCACAGAGATCCACCTGCCTCTGCCTCCCGAGTGCTGGATTAAAG